TCTCTCTCTCTCTCTCTCTGATGCTGTCATAGGCTGGGCCATGGAATCAGCTGGATCAGCAATTCCAAACCACATCGATTTACCTTAATCTCTCCTTTCTCACAAGGTTCACTGCATACAGATCTGATGACAGAACTTTTCTTTGACCAAATTTCACCATCATCCATCTTCAGTTCACCATTGTCCCAACTTCCGACATTGATGTAATCATAACGATCCTTCCCCATTTTCTTAAAATTCATGATCTCATACCTTTCAAACAAAAAAAGAGAAATCACTCCATTTTGCTTAAACCCAGAATTAAGGACAGGGTCACCATGAGAAAAGAGGTGCAAAGTAAGGCAACAATCAGCGTTTTTTCATTGGGCTGTTAAAGTCATATCCAACATTAATCCCATTGATTTCAGTTCAATCCAGATTCAACCCAGAGTGTAAATATGAGTTACATATGGGGGTGTATTCATAAGATTGGATGTTAAAATATTCCAAATAACAAATAAACGTTGCTTTAAGTATGTAGCCATCATTTGAAAAATGAATGTATGAATTAGGCTGGACATAGTTTTATTCAGCTGTAAAAAAATATTTGACCTTCCGTCATATGTTACTGCTAATGGAGAACAACTAAAGAGTTAGAATAAGGGACAGAGACCAAAACCAGCACAAAAATATAATATATAAAATATTGCACTGTATCTTCAGACATAATCAAAATATGCAAATGCAAACATAAATTCCAACAGAACAATGGGTGTCCAGCCGATGTTTGAACTACAGCTCCCATCATCTCCGTTCATTGGTTGCAAGGCATCTGGAGGTTAGAGAAAGCTTTCTTGGAGCATAAGGGTAAAAATAACTAAAATATATTTCCTGATATTCTTTGGAGTTGCCAGTGTATAAGTTAGGTGCTGTTGACTTCAGGTAGGCTAATGTGTGTCCTTCAGCTCCCATAGTTCTCAGCAAGAAGTTATGGAAGTTGAAATCAAATCCATATAGAGAGCACCAAATTGGACAGGGCTGCCCATACTAATATTGGAAATTCTTGACCTTATGCAGATATTCTGGACATTCTGGACCATATAATCATTTATGGTTGAGATGGGGGTTCAGCTCTACCATTAGCCAGAATGAGAAGCAACAGTATTTATTCTCCTGCTGTTCCTCTTGAGTAACCGGCCCTTGTTTGAGGACAGACTGTGTATGTCACACAGCCTGCCCTGTGCTAGCTTGTCTTAAATACAGTTAGGGATGCTACTGTGTCACTAGTGTTAAAGTAAGATTCCAGTGGTGCTTTGGAGTGCAGTAGATATGTTCCTATAGCACCTGTCTGCAACTCCTTAAAATAGCTTCATCTTTTCCCACTATCCACAGTTGCATTATGATCCCAGGAAAATACATGTTTAGTGTAAGGAATTGCAGCCATTCCTATACTCTCTGAAGCAACTTTTGCCTTTGAATTTGAAATGCTGCAGTTTCAGATTTACCTGTCCATCCAGATGGCCTCTACTCAAGGCATAGCAGTGGCAAGACCCCATATTGTTGGTGTTCAATTCTACTCTGATCCAAGCAGCCTGACTACATTCTTGACTAAGAGCCACTGCAATTTTTTTGGGCCAGTGTGAATCTGTGAGACCAGAGTGTTTTAAAAGAGATTTATAGATTCTAATTGGAATGCATGAATATTCCAGATAATTTGGTGGTTAACATGCCTGTTGATAGGGCCATGATTTACCAATTGCTGGCATCACGGACTGACAAAGGCCTGGGACATTATATCATATCTGTTGCATTTGGAAGACATCATTATCCCTTTTCCTCACTGAAGATGAGGTAGGAATATACTGTATGTGATGACTGAATATTTAAAAGAATATATGTGGTTTGAAATGTATTTTTCCTGCTTGGAATAGTACGTTATGAATGACATCTTTTCCTAGGCATTAGGAGAGAAAACAAAACAGACACAAAGAGAAAATGCTTTTGACTGCCAAGGAAAATGCTAAATGCTTTTGATGTCCTCTTAAAATGATTTGAAGCATTTACTGGCAGTGGTTCTGCCAACTGGCCAATTCTTATTCAAAATCCAAAATAGTGAAGTATGATTTAAATGTCAGCATGAATTTCAGAAAAGCCAACTGGTCCATGGTATCTCCAAGAAGCAGCTTGTGTGAACATTTAATTCATTTTGGGAAGCAAACTGCTTCAGTCTGTTGGAGTGCCTATTTGTGGTCTAAGCACGTGGTAAAGGAATCCTACTAAACCTATCTTACCATCCTTTAGAACTTGGACTAAAGAAATCCTATTTAAGCCCATTTTATGATCCTTTAAAATTGGGGTCCCTACTGTGGTGCCCGTGGGCTCCAAAGTACCTGCAGTGTATGAGTTGGCAGAAAATTATGCTGGCATAAATTGCCCTGACCTCATTGCTGTTTCCTCTGCTGCCTTAATAATGAGGCTGGCAAGTGTACTGCTCTGGACTGTTTTAATACAAGATAAGTTAAGAAATGCAATTTGGTGAATCCCCCAGGCTTCATTTGCAAGATTCTGTTACTGTAACTTTATAATAAAGTAGTATTAGCATTCATAACTTTGGCATCCTAGTCTGGTCTACCTTGAAGGGCTGATATCAATCTTGCAAGTATGAATGTGCTTCCCCTCTCCCTCCCTTTATCTTCTTGAGAACCAGGGAGGGTCATGTCTGAGACACTTTCTCAAATTACATTTCTGCCTCGGGCTCAGATTTCTTTTATCTGACTGTTGCCTTGTTTGTGGCTCTTCCTCCTGTTCGTCAAGGTTATTTCTACTGCCTGTTACAGGGGGAGACAAGCTTGCTGAAGTCTGAAGTAACCAAGAGAAGAAGGGCAAATCCCAATGCTTGACTACTTCAGCAACCACACTGCTGATAATTGCTAGTTTGGTTCACAGCAAAAATTATGATGGAAGAAGGAAAACATTATTTTACAGCTGACCTTCCTTAAGGTGCCTCATCTGAGGACATTAAAAAATAATTCTGGGTTTGGCTACAGTTAGGAGGAAGTGAAGATGAGCCCTTAGTTAGGAAGATGTAGGTCTACTTAGACAGACTGACTGAAACCATTGACTTAGTTTAGTCATGATTAAGTCCCACACTACAGTGGGTTAATTTTAAGGATGATAAAATCTGGGCCCATTTCAGGAATTCCAATTGCTGTGATTAAAAAATGGAGTACTTAGCAAGTCAAGGCATTCTATATTTTCTAAATGGTTGAATATGTACAGTACCGTCCTGGTGAGTCTCCGTTTTCATCAAATGAGATCATATCTCCAGAAACCCCAGTGAAGTTGGACTTCATCAGAGAATCCAGAAGTTTCCGTCCATCGATTGGCTTCATAGCATCACAAAGACCCGCATAGCCTGGACACAGTGCCATTTGCATGTTATGGAGGCCATATGCCATGGAATATATTGCATTAATCACGAACCCCATCTTGGAGTCTTGCACATGTTGTGTTTCTAAGGTCAAATTACCTGTCGTGAAAAGAACATGTAATAATTGCCACAGTTTTCAGATTAACAAAATACACTTTATTAATTTTCTGTTTGCTGAAAGGTTTTCTCTTTCTCCCTCTTCGAAATCTAGAATAAATGAAAATATCTGTGTTTAGGTTCTCTTTAACACCAGGTCTGACTCTCAGCTCTTCAACTAGGTCAGCCAGAAGTTATTTTCACGGAAGTCATCCCACGAGTTCTTTCGGTAAGTGGCTCCAAACCAAGGGTCTGGCATCTCAACAAAGATGCTTGCTAAAAAGAACAGTTGGAAGAAAATGTTCCTGGCATGTGAGCTGGGAAAAACCAAGAAATTTCTCTACCACCAAAAATATTGCCATGACGACGAAATAGTGTGAGATTGCTGAAGTGGCATGCCAATGTCAAAGCACGTGTTTGCAAAGCCTCCTTGTGCCGCGGCTTGAAAAATGTTGGGTACAAACCATTTCTGTTAAAAACAGTGGGAGCCACTGAGTACAGAAGGACCTTCTAGGGACAACAGCCATTATAAATAATTCCAAGTGGAGCTTTACCCACACCTTCCACTGGAAGTTAATGAATACTATTCATCTGCAAAGGAAAGTGTTGTGTTGTATTTTGCCAAAGAAACTATTCATGTCCTACAGTTATCTCAAAAAAAGAAGGGAACCCCCCCCCCCCCCCCTTTTTTTTTATTTATTTTTTTTATTTTTTATATTTTTTTTTTTTTTTTTTTTTTTTT